ATGAGGGGACTGGCGAGTCCGAAGGTGCTATGAGTGCCTGCTGGGGGGGGCTGAGCTGGGTTAACGTGTGCGGGTGGAGTCCTCCCTCCTCACCGACACACCATGTTCTCAGTAAAGAGCTGGGAAGCCAGGAAGGGAGGGGAGGTTTGGAATGAGGATGCTCGGATCATGTTGGATTAAAAGCTTTGCTGCCACAGTTTAGCGTTTTTGTGGTTTTGTTGGGTTGGTTGTTTTTTTTTTCCCCTTGAACACTAGAAGAAATTCTGGTAGGAACATTAGCCTTGGCTTTTTTTTTTTTTTTTTTCTTTTCAAGAAACAACCTGGATGGAAAAAAAACCCCATGTTTTGGACAAACTGCCCTTGCAAACTTCCTAATTGCAAACATTGTGGGGCCAAAAGTGAAACCGTGCTGCGGTGTCTCTGTTTGCTGGAGGGGGAGACCAGCCGCAACCGTTCCCCGTGTCGAAGGGGAAACCGCGCTTCAAACGCTCCTGGTACAGTGACCATGGTGATAGGACTGCGTCTGCCGTGTAATCGATGACTCAGTCTGATAGCGCTGTACAGACGTGAACCGGTGTCCGTGTTTGTGCCATGAGGGATGCAACGGCTTGTGAGGAAGCAGGCGGGGAGATGGGCTTCAGACGAGGGCTGCTCTTTGGGACGAGCAGCCTGGCGGGCTTGACGTCGGGATCTAAAAAGTAGATCTGTGACTGTTGGATATTCCCCACCGGTGGGCTGATGACCTCGCACCTTGGGCAGCAGGAGTGCAGGTACGGTGGGTGGATTTTGCGGGATCGTGCTGCTGCTTGGTGGGGGAGCTTCTTCAGTTCCTGGGTTCTTGTCCTTTTCCATGAAGGATGCCTTGGAGGAGGCAGGGGGAAGGTTGCTGAGCTCTCAGCACCGTTCCAAAGCTGCGAACGAGCCAAGCATCTCCCTGGGGACCTCAGATGAACAAGGCAGATGCAGGGGAGTTGTTATCCCAGTGTAACGGCCGGGATGTGAAGGGCCAGGAAGTCAGTACATGCCCAAATCACCAGGGAGGCAGCGGCAGAGCTGAGAGCTCTCAGATCCCAGCCCTGAACTTGAGCTACGAGGCTCCCCCACCTCTCAAAACGTGCTGCACGTTACGCCTGGGTTCCCCGGCGGCTCTGCATCAGCAGTTAAGTAACAAACTATTTAACAAGAGCTTCCTGTTGTGCTGACACCAACATGAACGCACAAAGGAGGAAACGGAGTAAACAGAGCTGTGTTGGCTCCCACCTCGCTGTAAGCTGGGAAAAGCGTCGGAGATTGCGAGGAGGCCTGGGCGCCATCTCTGCTAAACCCGACCCTGCTGGGCTTGGGGGATGATGTTCTTGTGGTTGCGATCAGCAGAAACTGCGCGGGCGTCGTGCATTGCTGGGAAAGCGGCTGCTTTCAGGACTTCCTGATTTTTTATTTTTTTTTTAAGGGATTCCCCAGGACAGATACAGCCTCCTTCACCCTTGCCCTGCTGCTCAAACTCCTCCGCAGGGGCCGTCCCCTGCGAGACGCAGCCGGTCCTCTGTCCTGCCAGGGTTGGCACAACTCCCCTGTGCCGTGGCAGGCGAGATGCTCACATCCAGAACTCCCTTCTCTGCCAGGTGCCTTGAGTTCCTTGGTCAAAACACTCAATCCCCTCTTCCCTTGAGGGATTGGGAGAAATTGGGCCAGAATAAGCCAATCTGCCTTTGCCACAAGGAAATATACTGCTGCCCCAGTAGGTTTGCTTGGGTCTCCTGTGACTGGAGCAAGGTGGTGCTGTGCAGCTCCGCTGCCTCTCCAGCCCATGGAGGAAACTTCCCTGGGTGGGGGTCACGATGGCAAGGTTTCCCTCTTCCTCCTGGGGAAGCTGCTGATGCAGCTGGAGACAGCCCACCCTGCGGGCCTGCGTCCGAGCTTCTTGGGCACATCTGCTGTGGGAAGGAGCTGATGGCGAGCTGGTGTGTCCAGCTAGGGAGGAGAGGGACATGTATGGGGTGGAGGAAGCTCAGGAGGTCCCTGTGGAGCATGTTGCATCGCCTGAGCCCAGCAGCACAAGGCAGGGATTGGAGCTGACGCTTCCAGCTTACGACTTTCCTGTTGCCCAAGCAAGTCCAAGTCTTGGAAGTACTCTTCATTTAAAACAAACAAAAAACCCCTCCTACCAACAGTCTTGTTTGCTCAAAAATCTACCCAGCGTGCATTTTTCTCATAAATGTTGAGACTTGAGTTGCAGCACGCTCTGGAGCATGATGCCACCTTGCCAAGGTAGAAGCAGGAACGGGGCTTACTGCGGTGTCTGACGGGGCCGTCTCAAACTGGGCTTTCTCCTGCGGCGCCGATGTGTGTGTGCGCAGAGAGAAAAGGGAAGGAAAGTGGCGTGGGGAGCGGGTTCCTGGTACGGCTGCGGGGCTGGGAGTGAGTCACCCCCAGCTTCACAGCTCTGTGTCGGTTGTGGAAGAGAGGAGGGTTGTGGAAGAGAGGAGGGTTGTGGAAGAGAGGAGTTTGTGAAATTAAATCAGTGCCGACGGTGTGTGACTGTTCCCACCTCGCTGTAAAGGTGGTCCTAGTTTCCAGTTCGCTTGTATTTTGTTCTTAAACATCAGTTAAGTAACAGTGGGTTAAGCTGGGTCTTTACCTATGTGTATGCACTTGCTGTTGCTCCAGTACAGGTTGTCTGGTTGTACCGGTCATGTTGGCTGTCCCACAAGAGATGCTAGCACTGGGCTTGGACAAATATGGTTTGAACACGAAATTTCCAGAATATGAGAAATTGTTGCATTCTTTTTACATCTTGGAAAATCCACTGGATTTCCCTTTTGTCGTAGCTGTATGGACAGGCTTTTCCTTGAAGCTTTCAGCTGTTTGAAAGAGCAGAATTGAGGAGCTTCAGCCCAGCGAGAGGACCTCAGCCAGCCCTGCAGAGCACGGGACACTGCAGGCCCAGTGGGAAGGGGTTCTGCTGCACGGGGACACTCCAGAAGGTTTTTCCTTTCCTCTTAGCCCAGAGCAAAGTTGGTGGGAGAAGGTGACTTTATGGCCAGTTCCTTTCCTTTGGAGCAGCTGGAAGAGCCTTTGTCCGCAAGTTGCCGTCTTGTTCCTCCAGGTGCACGTGGGAACGGTGGCCCTGTGGAGGATGCAGGTGTGGGCACAAACCTCCATCCCAGGAGGACCTTTTGTGCCACTACAGTTCACAGCATTAGGTTGGAATGAGATTGGGGGGTTTTTTGCCCCCCTTCAGCATCTGTTTCTCATTCTATAGCTGCTTACACCCCAGATGAGCTGTTCACCTCCCGAGCCTGCTTGACCTGGAATGCCCCTAGTCAGAGCCGTGCATGAGTACCAAGAGTTGTCCTGCTCGTCTGGGGTCTCTGGAGGCCTCGTGTCGGGTGCGGGGCAGATGGAGAGAGCCCCAGCAGCGCTGCCGTGGTGCTTGGGGGCTGGTCAGGTAGTGCTCGCATGTCTGCAGGCTGCTCAAAAGCTGGAGGTTTCCAGCCCGTTGCCTTTCTGCTCACTGAGGCTCTTGTGGGATGCCCTGGTTCTCCTGCCCTCCCATGGGAGGAGGGAGCTGCCCCGTGTCCCTCCGATGCCTCCACTCCCACCTCTGGCTTGACTGTACCCGTTACAGGGCTCTCTCTGTGGGAAGCCTGGTGAGGCTTTCCATGACCCCTCATTTTGGGGAAACCTCTGTGTCGTGGCCAGCTTTTCCCCGCTTTGTCATGAGCAGGGTTGGCTGCCGCCACTGAAGACTGGAATACGTTTTTAACTACAAACCTTTGTAGACATCAACTGGGACCGTCTGCAGCTTGCTTTAAAGATGTTGGATCTTGCTTTACGTTAAGACTTTTGATCTCCCTGTAAGCTAAGACTTCATCTGCCTCTTAAACTTTTAAAATTTATGGGGGCTTGGTTTCAGCTGTGTAAGGCCACCGGTTGCTTTTTGGTCTGGATTTTTGTCTTGGGAGCCAGCTGATGGGTCGTCCTTTGGGACATCAGGGTATTCGTGCTTATTTTTAGCTTTTAATTGGCAGCGATCTGTACTTGGAGCTGTGTAGTGTCAAGGGCTTTTCTTTTTTGTGCTCTCAAGAAGCTTTCCTTTCTCTTTCATCTGGATGCAGCTGTGTTTCTCTTTTGCTCACGAAGCACAGAGTACACGGGGAAACCGGCTTCAAGTAATCATCCCAAAGGCTTGCGGAGATCAGGGCTCGGTACAGTCAAGCCTCCGTGGCTGGTAGCAGCATCGCACCCGCCCCGGGGGTGCTGGCTGGTCCAGGACACCTGGGATCTGTTCCGAGAAGTGCCACAGACCTGCTCCCTGACCTTCACCAATCGCTTCCCTGCTCCAGGCCGCTATATTTTTCCTTTTCTTCCCCTCTTTTGTCTTGCCCCGTTTAATTGTAACCTGGTTCGGGCAGGAACACTGTGTGTGTGTAAAGGGCCTAGAACAATGTGCCCCAGATGGTCTTGTACAAGTCCTTTCTCAGCAGCCACAAGGTTTCACTCTACAGGAAAGAAATTTTTAAAAATACAACTTTTCAGCATTTTATACTTGCACATGTGGCCAGGAACTGCCCGAGCCTTGGTATTTCAGTCCAAGTCACAGGTCTCGGAGACAAGGGCTAGCACTAGAATGGCAGCTTTTTCTTCTTTTTTACAAAAAACAATGAACAACCCACCCCCACCCCCAATCCCTTTTTCTCGCCCTCATGACTGCAGGGAAAAGCTCGTAAATGTGGCTGGAGCAGGCCTGGCATGCTCAAAGCCAGATGGCAAATAAAAAGAACCCAATATTTCAACAAAAACAACGTGAACCCCTTCTTTGGGTTTCAGATGATTGCTCGAGTGTGGTTTTGCCCCCTTTATGGTAATTTCAGTGTTTTTGTGGTTCTGTTTTTGGGAGGTGCCAAAGTCACTTGCACTTGTCTGCAGTTTATTTCACTTTCAGGTTCCCTGGCTTGGAGCTCTTGCATTGCAAACACTGCTGGGCAGTGCTTATTTGTTTTAAGACCACAGCTTGCTTTGGAATTTCTTCTACCAAACTTCAGGCCAATTTTTTTTTTTTTTTTCTTTTACTTATTTGTCCCCCTCCCTCCTTTTTCCCCCCAAAGAGAGAAAGAAGTTTTCTTAGGCTCATCTTGCATCAGATTTGATACCAGGCCAACAAATCCAGCCTAGAAGTTGCTTTTCTGAGGCTGCTTACCTCGATGTGACCTTCTGGGTGAGGATGCCTGCTCAAAATGCAAGGCTGTGCCCTCAGTTTTATCGGGGCACCTTCCCCATGGTGCTGCTACCCTGGGGTGGTGGGATGGGGCAGGTCTGGGTCCCTGTTGCCCATCCAAAGGCTGCTGTGTTTTAACAAACATGGGTTTTGCAAGGCTCTTGGCTCCAGAGCAGTGGGAGTCCTGGGATTTTACCAAAGGTTTCTGTTTCTAATTAGGTTGTTCTCAATTTTAAAGGCCAGAGATCTCTTTATGGCACAGAGTGGAAAACCTGACCAGTCACTGACACCGCACAGAGAGGTGGGTCCTGCTTTTGTACTGAGGTACAGAGAGCTGTTGCCTCTCCTTGGCGCTCTTTGGATGCGAAAATAGATTCCTCCCAGCCCTCAGCTCCCCGTGGCTCATCCACGGGGGAGGCTGGTGGGTAGAGTTTGGAGAAGCATCACTTGCCCCTGCCTGACTCACACGGCCATGGTTCAGTGGCTTCCTGCTGCTCTGACCGCCCGGCTTTGGGAAGGGGGGAATTGCTGCGCGGCAGCTGGCTGGCACGCAGCCGTGGCGCGGGGATCAGGGCTGTGGCCTCGCTGGTCATTGCCCTGGCCCAGCTGCCTGAAATCGGGGTTTAGAGCTGGGCTTTTTCAGGAGGGCTGTTCCCAAGGCCGGGACTCGCTGTGCAGGCAGGGTTGGAGAGTCGTGCTACGCTGCTGCCTGCATTTGTCTGGGCTGGGGGAAGACAGCACAGCCTCCCAGTGCTCGCAGGAAGCAGTATTTATTTTTTCCCCTTCTGTTAGGGCTCTGTCTTGCTCCATTGTCTGAAATTCCCTTGCATAGACTGGCCCATAACTCTCTTAAAGAAAAAAAAAAATAAAAAATTCTCAAGCGCAGGGCTGGAGCTCCCTCCGCTCTGGCTGTCGGCCGCCTGACTGTGCAAACAGTCTGGGCCTGAAATCCCCTGGGACTGAACATAAAGGTCTGATTCAAAATGAAAACGGGGTATGAAGCAGCATGGCCTGCACATCGCCGGCTGCCTCCCCTTCCCCGGTGTTGGCAGGAGCCGCGTCCGGGGAAGGTGGCTCCCGAAACACCCAGGGAGGGCTGTGCCGCGCCGCCTGCTCCAGGAGCTGGGAGGTCGTGGGGGAAATGGCTCCCTGGCGCCTGGGCAGAGGTGGAGAAGCGTGAGACGGGCGGGAGGGCACCGCCATGCACCGAACCCAGGGCGGAAATTATCAAGGGAGCAAAGAATGAGCAGGATATCACGTGTCGGCCGTGTGTGCTCGGGGCTGGGGGAGAACAAAGCGTGGGGAAGCCCTGCTCTGCTGCCGCTCCCACCACGCTTCCTGCTGGCACGGGACGGAGACCGCTGGCTGCCAGGGGAAGGGAGCGTCAGCGCAGGAGCCGGCCCGTAGCTGCCCCCGTGGCCTTTGGGGAAGCTGGAAGGCTCTGTGTGCCTCGGTTTCCCTTGGCCAAGATGCACTGGTAACGGACGATAGGACGAGGGGGAATGGTTTGAAGTTGCGCCAGGGCAGATTTAGGTTGGACATTAGGAAAAACTTCTTCACCGAAAGGGTTGTCAGGCTCTGGAATGGGCTGCCCAGGGAGGTGGTCGAGTCCTCATCCCTGGAGGGATTTAAAAGGATAGGTGAGGTGCTTAGGGCCAGGGTTTAGTGGTGGGATGGCAGGGTTAGGTTAAAGGTTGGACTCGATGATCTTAAAGGGCTTTTCCAACCAAAGTGATTCTAGGATTCTATTCTATGATCACTGGGTGCAGTGGGATGGTCCCCAGGTGTTGGCCTGCTGGCGGTGGCTGGGCTGCTCTGCGCTGGGGCTGTTGTGCTCCGGGGATGCACCAGAGCCATTGGCCTGGAGGACAGAGCCTGCAGGGGAAGGAGGGAGCTCCCATCCCACGTGAAAGCCTTGTTCCCCAGTACTTGAACCGGGAGGTCCCTCAGATGGGTGTCATGCACCCGCAACAGCCAGGCCAGCACCCTGCACCTTCAATGCCTGCAGCTCCGGTCCCTCCTGGAGGGCAGTGATGTTTTGCCAGGATGCTGTGGACAGGGTGTGGTGGGCCCTGGTGAGGATTCGGTGTCAGGTGAGGACGGGGAGCGGGGCAGCCCCAGGGAGCGGCTCCCCTGCCCGCAGACCATTGCACAGCCGGTCCTTCCCCTGTGCTGAGCTCCAGCTCTGGCTGTCTTTTTCCCCTCTGTTGCTCTTAGACCCTCCCCCATTTCCCCCCATGCACCCTTTAGCACAAGAAGCCTTTTTTTTGTTATTAATAGCTATTGAGAGCCAATAAAAAGTTTTACAGGGTTTGGCCAAGCGTCAGGACTTGCAGTGTGCTCATTTCCTGGAGTCTGAGCACTGGAGGGGCGTGGGTTTGCTTGTTTAACCCGCAGGTAATGAGGCCGCGGCGGCAAGGGCTCTTGGTGGGCATCACGGGAGCCCAGAGAGGAGCGGAGGAAGGTGGTGAGAGTGGGATCGGGGAGGGGTGGGGGCTGCCCCCCAGCTCGGCTTGCTCGCAAACGCAGCAAGGGCTGAGCTGGGAGCAAAACCAGAGACGATGAACGCTGGGGGGAAGGCGGGGCGTGTGTGCGTGCATCGGTCAGTCAGTCTGTCTGTCTCTCACGTGGCCTCCCGGTGTGCACCCGTCTCCTGCTTGACCCTCTGTGCTTCCCAGCCCGTATTTAGCTTCCTGGCTGTCCTGTGCCTGGCACGCTCTGGCTGCCTCCTGCGAGGAGGGACCAAGCCTGACCTCCCCGCCGGCAGCTCCAGTGGGAGTCCTGGATGGAGGGAGAGCACGGCTCCCTCTGGGGAACCTGGTTCCCTCAGCACGGAGCTGGTCGGTGGTACTTGTCATCTCGCCCCTCCGGAAGGGAGAGAGGGGCTGATTTGGCCTCGATGTTGGGCTGTACCAGTGTGAACGCAGTCAGGTGCACAGGGGAGGCTTGTGTGAAGCTGATGTAGAATGGTTTGGGTTGGAAGGGACCCTTAAAGGTCATCTAGTCCAGCCCCCCTGCAGTGCACATGGGACGGAGCTCCCTGGTTCAAGGGGCTGATCCGAGTCCTGCCTGTTTGCAGGGACCGAGGGGAACCCTGCCTTACCCCACCACCAGCACGGGGCTTCCCGCCAGCTTCACTGGGAAGTGCTGGGAGCTGCGCACATGAGGTAGGCAAGGCTGCACGACCACTGAGCAAGCAGGCATCCATGGCCATCAGTTACCCCCCACGAGTGCACAGCGGCTTCTGCCCAGACTGCAGCCAGCAGCCCTGTTGGCCAACGTGCCTTTCTCCGAGCTTTGCAATTAAAATCAAGGTTCGTTTGCAAGAGCGGAGGAAGAAGTGGCAATCAGGAGCTCGCCGTGGAGGCAAGCGGTTCCTGTTTGCCAGTGTCTGTTTTACCCCAGCCTGGCAGGCCTGGGCGGGCTCTTGTGGGGGCCCTGAGCGTGGTCATTCCCCACACACACACAGAGCTCCTTAGAAACCCGGTGCTCTCCCACGCGTCCTGGCACAAAGGTCCCAGCCCGGCCGCAACGGAGGCTGGTGCTGGGGGGAAGTGCTCTGACTCAGCTGGCCACAGCCTCTGGACCCGCAGGGACCCTCCTGGCAGGGAGCTGTCTGGGGAGAATATCCTCTTTTCACTTCATAGGAAATTACCCTCCTGACATGGTTTGCCCTGTAACGCAGTGGCTTACGTGTGTCCTCTGCTCTTGGGCGCTCTCGGGTCTGACCAGCGGCAGCCTGGCCCCGAGCACCTCGGCTGGGGCCTCCGAAGATCTCCCTGCTGCCAGCAGCCCTTCCCCGTGGGGACATCGTTCTTGCCACTGGCTCCAACCTGGAGATGCCCATCAAGCATTTCGCCTGCTGCCATGGCCAGACACTTACTTATTTATTTATGCCGGCATCTTAGACATGGGGCACTCTGTGATGGTTCTCCCACCCCTCGGTTGCGGCACCCTTCATCATTGTGGGGGTTATCTGTAATGCGGGGAGGGTGTTGGAGGGACTCCGCAGAGCTGAGGGCAGGAGCCTGGAGACAACTCCCTGTTGTCCTTTGCCTCCTTGTGCTAATTTTCTCCCTCTCCTTTCTGCAGCTGGGAGACCGAGGAGCCACGCTGGGAGGACCCTCTCCGCAGGATGTTCTCTCCACCAAAGAACTCCCTGTAACAGGCGATGATGACAATCCCGGCGAGACCTTGGAAAGCACTAACATTTCAGTAGCCCAGCACCCGTGGGTGGCCGTTTACCCCTCCTTCTCCACGCCCCGCCCTCCCATCGCTCACCGTGATGGTGTATTAACCAAGAAGAACCCTGCTTCTTTTCTCCTCACCCCTCAACTTTCGGCAGCTCTGGGATTTGTATGGCAGCAGCGTAACCGTGGAGAGGCCGGGGTATCACAAACTTATGGATTTTGATAAGAGAGGAGGGAAAGGGGAGCTGGAGGAAGGTAAAAGGATGTCCAAGACAGGTGGAGGAAGGAGCAGTCATGGAAGCCGGAGTGCTGGAACCAACTCGGGAGTCTTAATGGTGGGTCCCAACTTCCGGGTCGGCAAGAAGATTGGATGCGGCAATTTCGGGGAGCTCCGTCTAGGTGAGAAGGGTCGTCTTCTGTCCTCGCTATAACTGCTTGTGCAGGGAGTGCCCTGGCATCCCCCTCCTGCGGGAGGAGCTGGCACACGCCTGTGACCGTCAGCACCGAGGGTGTTGGGCAGCCGTGCAGTGTTGAAGCATTGCACGTTGCAGATCGCCCTTGCTTCCTTCACAGAGTTTCCTTTTCCTCAGCCCCTTCACACTGTGCTTGATCTTTCAAAGCCCATCACAGCCCGAAGGACTGCAGAGGTGTTACCTGTCTCTTCCCCATACCTATCGCTCTTCAGGTTTGTCGGGGAGAGCGTTACAGTTCAGTCCTGTCTGTTGGAAGTGGGGGTGGTCCACGCAGGCCTGGGTGTCCGTCCCCGCCCCCGGCCAGGAACACTTAGTGAGTAGTGTTTCACAAGATGCCACTGTGTGCTCGCTGGGTCTCACCCCACTTGTGCGCCCTCCTGCTGCGCCACAGGCCTCGGGAGAGCAGATGGAGAGTGGGGACCTGTGGGGTGTTTGCTCTGCCAGAGCGAGCATCAGGGGAAGAGAAGTCGGTATTTCATCCTGGGTAAATTCTCTGGTCATTTCAGAGAGTCTCCTAAAATTTTATGCAGGGGAGAGAGAAAGGGCTGAATAAAACCCGAGCACTTTCCACGGTCACTTTCCATTTTGAACCAAGTTTATCAGGAAATGGTTGAAGCAAGCTCTTGTTTGGAGGGTGGGTAGGTTGCTCCTCTTCCAAGGACTCTGCATGCCCCAGGAGGCTCTCAGCAAGCTGTTAACCCTTCGGTTGGCATCAGGCAGCTGGGAGAGGCCTGGCAGTGCCAGGCACCGCTGTGCCAGCAGCACAGTCTGGATGTCTCCAGGAATGTGCCTTTGACGTGTTGGTGGAGTCTCTGCCAGGCGGAGCGTTGGGCTTGGCTGCCAGTGCTTTGGGAAAGGGCTTGTGCCCTAGGAAGAGGGAAGAGACCTGGTCCCCGGAGCAGGCTGGGAGCTTGTGACAGCCGTAGGCCTTGTTGCTCCGTGATATTTTAAGCAGCGCCTTCTCAAACCAAGCTCTGAGCTAAACCTGCAGTAAGTGTGGTCGTCTCGGCAGGCTGTTTGCGTGCAAAAGGAGCAGGAGGTGGGAGGCTGCTGGGAGGTGCCGCCGGCAGCTCAGGCACCCGTGCGGAGGGTGGGGTGAGTTTACCCACCTCCCTGTGCCGCCTCTGTCTGTGGGGAGTTAATGTTAGCTCTTCCCAGCATGACAGACTGGCTGGTGGCAGCCTAAACCGTCCTGTTCCCGAACTCCCCGATGGGATCGCCGCTTAATTGCAGAGCTTGGGAAAATGCTCTGTTTAAAATCCAGCCAAGTGGTTCCCACATCCAGCCGCGGAGGGTCCGTCTCTCCCGGTGTCACGAAGACCTGTGATCGTTCCTCCAGACCTAGGTATTGTGGAAGGAGAGGTATTGAGGGATTTTTGCTGCACCAGCTGC